AAATGAATTAAAATTAGCAGAAAGCAACTGAAAAAAGGCACAAAAATGTTGAACTTGATAGACGAATAGCTAAGTTAGCAAAAAAGAAGAAGCTGAAATTGGCACAAAAAAAAATTTAAAAAGCAGAACCATAAATAAAAGTTTTAAGTCCAGTAAAGATCTTTAAGGATTTTAAAAGGTTTTAGGGCTTCAGAAAAACACGAATGACAAAAACTAAACGTCTCAGAAAGTKATTTCCTACCAATGATGTCCCTCTGCTGCTGACCCGCTGCTTCCTCTCTCGGCACCTCCTGGTTCTCCAGATCCTTGAGGAACTCATCCAGACTGTCGGCCTCCCCGCCTTTCCTCCTCTTCCTCAGCTCGTCGGGGACCAGCGGGGTCAAACACCTGGTGAACATCTAGAGTGAAGAAGACGGTGTTCAGCAGGCAGCGGGACGTTCTGTTTCCCACCCGGAGCCAGGTTACCTTCAGCAGCCGAGCGTTCCACAGAGGCTGAGCTGGGAGGGAGAACAGCTTCTCCACTCCTCCGGTCTCCTTCCACATCATCAGCTTCTTKGTGGGCGGAGCCAAATCCAGCGTTGTGACGATGTCGGAGTAGTCGGAAAGCTGAGCGCGGATGGTTTTYCTGTCCAGCTCCTTCACGCTGTCGACAATCAGCTTCCTTTTCCGTTTGGCCTTGGTCTCCTTCACTGTAAAGGATGAGATGATCTTCATTTATCTTCATCTTCATCACATGAACCGTGATTCGAAGCTTTATCACCTGTGATGTCAATGGGCTCCAGGGCGAAGGTCTCCTCCTCGTTGTGGACCAGAGCCGTTTGTTCCTGCTGGTCCGTCATGGCGGGCAGGGGCTCCGTTGGGCCTGAATCAGGACTATCTGGGGCTCCAGCTGAGACCACACAGACACAAACGCACGGCGTATCGTTGAAAAACGTCATCTTTTCYCGTTTTCATGRGTCGAGGAGACGTGGAACTGACCCGAGAGAGCGTCAAAGTCGTCCTCGTCGTCTCCGTGGTCCTGAGGCATCATCACGCTCTCTGCGATGGCAGGGGGGTCGTCGAATATGCCGCCTCCGTCCTCGTTGCTCAGCAGCTTGTCCACTGCTCCGAATAAAAAGATCTTGAAGCTGAAGTGCTTTAAATGTGTTTAAAAAAAAAAAACGTTGGAAACTTACCCAGCATTCCTCCCTCGGTGCTCTCCATGGGGTTGTCTCCAAAGTCGTCCTTGTACTGGTCGTCGTACTCCAGGTGGTTGGACTTGTCGGCCATCTGGTTGGCRCCGCCCTCCGCCTCCAGCAGGAGGTTGGAGGTCGACGATCCCATGATGTCAACCTCAAACGCGCTCTCGTCCCGCATCATCTCCCGGTCGTCCATCCCGAAGTCCGCTGCAGGACAGAGCAGCTCTAACCTGACCGCACTGAGACACTTTGYAGTGGATTAAAGGACTTACCGAAGTCATTGTCCTGCAGCAGGTTGAGGTTGCCCACCTCCTCTCTCATGGTGATTTCTTCTGCTCTGCTCTGATTCAGGTTGAACTGCTGAGCCACGTCGATGTCACTGTTCACAACACGTCACGTTGTTCACCAAGACACGGTTCATCAGCTTCAGCTAATACACCTGGACTGTTTGTCACTTTCCCCATAAAAACAGGATTCTCTTTGAAATCTACTTCATCAAACCTGCTCTGGTTTGGGCTTCTTAACTCCTACAAGTTTTTAGCTTTTTTTCTACCCTTATCATACTATTTTTATATACTAATTTTAGAATTGACAGTTTTGTAAATTATAACTTTTAGCCTAATTTTAGCTATGGTTTAGATCAACTTTACTCTTGGCTAATGTTTAGTTAATTTCATTTATTAGCTTCTGTTTCTCTGATTTTAACTTCTAGCTACTGTTTTGCTCTTTTTAGCTTTTACCATTTTTTAATTTTAGCTTTTAGATTGACTTTTAGTGATAGTTTAAATCATTTGTGCTATTAGCTACAGGTTAGCACATTTTAGCACCGAGCATCTGTTTTGTTTATATTAGC